AAAATAAAATTTTGTTTTCTTATTTAGCAAATAGTTTTGCTAAAAACTTCCAGGTGGAGTAGAAAACAAAAATAAAATTTTAATGATGAATGTAAAATAAGATTAAATGCTTCAAATTTATAAAATTAGGAAGAAATATACATATCTTAGCTTTGGAGATTTCAAGGCAGAGGCGTAATAAAAATAGAGAAAAACTTTTATTTATTTTCTGTAATTTCTACTTTTTCGTGGTGGCATGTGCAGTAATTGGCCAAAAATAAATTTTATTTTTATTCAAATTCATTAATATTTGCAGTTGGCGGGTTTGCTAACAAGGTATAAAAAAAGTCTTGCCTAAATCAAATGTAACATCATGTAATCTTGGAACTCTAAAAGTTTGAAAAAAACATATAAAAATGTAAATAGGCCTATTAAGTACAGTATTTACTATTATGTTAACTTCTAAGTCTCATAATGCGATACAGTAGCTTGTGTATGACAAATATCGGTAAATGAAAGCTAAATCATCAAAACAAATTGTAAGCTGTGCAGATGATGTTTACTATGAAAAAAAAAAGGAAGCAGAACCAATAGTATGCAGTATGCATGTTTGTAGTATGGAAAAATAATTGCAGCAAAAAAGATTGGCTGGTATGAATCTTGTGCGCCAGTGAAATCAAATTGGATTATAAATGAACTGTCTCAGTATAATAGGAATCAAATAGATTATAGGCAAAAAAAAATGTATTACTTATTTGGTTTCTTTAAGTAGCATCAAAATAATATGTATATATATCCTCTCAGCATGTACTGTATGAGACAGATAATCTCTACAGACAGACAAATGGCATGTTAGTATGAAATCATACATTATCGAATGTGATAAAAACAGCAGTGGAAAATAGCCTTACGATATAAATACCTTGGAAAAAATGGCTCCCTCAGATACAGTATATTTTGTAAATAAAAAAAACAATATATTCTCCCCTAAATGTGAACATTTTATTCAAAATGTTTATACAGTAAGTACAAGAGTACTGTAGAAAACAAGTTGTTTGATTAATATTTTTAAATAATTAATACATTGGTAGCAATATTGATTGTCAAACAAATTATTAATGTATTACCCAGGTTGTTTATTGTTGAGGAGGATTTTTTGGGGAGAACCTTTATTCAATTGAGGTGATTATTCAAGAGAGGTGTTTATTCAAGGCGTTATATTTGTTTTTTGCGTAAAATGGATAAGTAGGGCTTAAACAAAATAAAAGCCCTTAATTTCACTGTAAATGTGGAACTTCCACACATATTTACCGTCAAAATGTGATATAACATGACCCAAATGACTTATAAATCCCAACCAGGTTAGAAAAAATGTAATTCTACTGGAGTAGAATTCAGTATTAATAATAGAATGTGTTGAGAATTATGTTGCTTTCATTAGTTTTGTTTGCAGTCATATAAAGGATTTACTAAAACATCCCAGAGCATTTATTCAGGGGAGGCATTTCTTCCAAATGAGGCTCTGGAGAGGGAAAGGGGGAAATTATTTGATGAGTAGGGCAATATAATTATGCAAACAATTAAACATTGATGATATTCCAACTAAATATTCAAAATTCACTGTCCAAACACTGGTTTAGAATATCTTTGATATCCTGCGATGATTAATTTGAAGTATAACCTAGACTAGTCTGGGCTTCACAATCAACATGAAGCCCATTATAGCCATCAGCATAAAAGCTTTAATGAGGACCTTGGTCTGATGGCCTTGAAAATAACAATCTTAATATTGTAGGGCATACCAACAAGCACATTTAACGATGACTGTAATTCTTTATGTTTTGACTATGTAATTTGTATTCCAATTAAACAAATGTCTTCTACTTAATTTTATTAAAATGTAAAAAAAAAAAATTCATAAACTGATTTAGCTACTAGCTATTGATTGTCCATCTTTCTATACGTTTTGAGTATAATTGTGATTTAATTATTATAAATTACAAGCTGCTTTGGCAGTCTTCTACTGTCTTGGTGCCTAATCCTAAGTGTGGATTCACCCAAGATTTAAAACAACAGCCTGTTTTGATCACTGGAATATTGCAGCAGAGACAAAGAAAATTTCAAACCTCTCTTAAAATTAGGCTGCAAGAACATTATGGTGTACTTCACATGGTTTAGTTTGACCATAAAGGAAATCGGTGTGACCTGTCTGCATAACATATCATTTGTCAATGTATCCAAGACACATGTTTAGTTTAACTGAACACATATACAGGAAGAATATAAACCAGACTGTTTTCTCCCAAGCATGAATGTGAAAAGTGCAAACATGTGCCAATATATTGCATACATGGCTGAATTTTTCTCAGAATGCATGAAAAGACTGACCACATCTTACAACCATAAATTCATTTACAGTAAATCAGATGAGTGCGAAAATGGTACAAGTTACCTATATTTGTATTGTCAACATTATTCCATGCGAACATTTCAGTACCAATAGTCTAGTAGCATGGAAGAAGGTCTTTTACTAACAGTACCTCCTTGGTTTATACTGTAATTTTAGTGCTGTATAGACACAAAGATAATCTTTGTTCCATGCCTTTTAAATCAAACTGGTATTTAAATAAATTAACATCTGTTAATACAAGGCCCATGTGTCATGTGTGTACCAAGAGCACCTAGAAAGGATCATCTTCAATGCAAGTTTCAGAGATTAATTCCCAGTAGCAGTAGCTATCGAACAACAAACAAATGACAGTCTTCTCCTTATTTAAAGCCTGTCTACAGTACATACTTGTACAGTACATTATAAATTTGTCAAAACACCTTAAACATTCAACTACAGAGGTCTAAAACCATTAAATTGTTCATTTAACAGGACAATTACCAAATTCAATTATCCAAAATTTACTAACACTAACAAGAAATATCTGTTTCAATATTACTCTGTTAAAATTCTTTGCTTTCACATGACTAATTACACACCATGCTAAAAGTTGGAACAAATGATACGCAGAGTGAAGACACATGCAACACCAAAGTGAAAGATAAGCTGCGTCCCGTACCATGTTCACATGTTCTTGGAAATATCTTGGGAACTTTAGCCTTCTAAATTTTGTTTTTTATCAACCTTTAGTAATCTTACAAGGATATACTGTACAGTATTCTCACCACCACAATACAGTATCCTTGCTAGGGAAAGTATCCTTGGTAAAATTTGTAACATTAGTAAAATTCTGTCATGTGAATAGGGTATACAACAATAAAGGCTTCCAATGATACACAGGCTAAAAAACATCAGTTTTGCTGAGTTAGTCCTGAAATTGACTACCAGCAAGTTTTAGTGTCTACCGTATGCATGCAAAAAATAGGAAAGCATTGGCCTAAAATTACTGGTATGTCGGTTTAATTATTATTCAGTAAAATATGTTATTGTTTTAAATTATCAAGTGAAAGTTAAACTTATTTATTTAAGTATATTTTAATACTCTACATGACGTCCGAATGTACAGAGTACTGTATACCAGCATTTCCCCAGGCAAATGCCAAGGGTATCTCAGCTGACCATTTCATATACAGTAATGTACTTTCATAAAAACAAAATCAAATACTGGCTTTGAAATTCAGTTTGTTTTGATTGTCCATCTCTACAAATTATTGGACATAAAGGAGATTCCTTGACTATAAGCCAAAATTCTAAAAACTGGACAATGCTGTGTTTGTGGAAGTGGTGGTGGTGAGGGAGGTTTTATACCCGAGAAGCTATGATGTTCAATTATATTTTTCAACTTTAACGGAAATTTTATTTGAAGCAGATCTAATAAAGGGGGTCTTATTTCTCACATCCTATAATGTTTTCATGACCCTTGATATCCAAAAGTATTCAAGTTTAATTTGATCTTCAGTCAAGGACGATACATTTGTGTTGTGCCAACTTTCACAATACACAAGATGCCAATCAGCTGTTATTGAGTACATATAAATCAAACCGTCTGTGGTTCTATGAAAGTATTGTATTATCAAGTTCACTAGAAACGTGGGTGCCTAGTGTTTTTACAACTATGAAAGGATGTCAGGAATGCAAGTCAAGGGAGGGAAAAAAAAATGAATGTAAAATTAGACTAAGAAGGAATGGATACCAACGGAGACTGCAAGAGGATGTACAAAGTATCAGGCTACGGTCACACTAAGAGTTTCAAGCCTGGCTTGACTCACCGCGGGTCAGATTTTCATAATGTGACCGCATCTGCACCGACTCGCGCCTGGCGTGACCTCGATCTCAATCTACCTATCTCGATCCCGGCTCAGCACCCATATTGACCCTGGATTGACCCTGGCGTGACAGAGATTGACATTTCCTCGTCGGCTGTCGACCAATCACAGCCGATGACGCCGTTGCGTTTAGATGTTCTTGAATAAAAAACCCTCGAGTTCTTCATGTGTGTTCAATCAAGACGCAATCATTACTTTTCATAAAAGTTAATTCAAATTTTAATTAATAATAATGCAATTGATTTGGAGCGACCAGGAAACTGCAGGTAGATTTGTGCGGCCAACCCGAGCTGAGAGACCGGATAGAAAATAAAAAAACAAACAACAAAACGGGAATTTTTGGCGTGCTTACTGACAGATTAGCCAGTCTCGGACATGAGAAGAGAACGACGGCCTAAATTCAAACAAAAGTGAAGGCATTGCGAGCCCAATACAAGCTGATAAAAGATCAGTTGAAGAAGAGTGGTTCGGGCACGTCTGGTGTAAAATCTTTGATTGCGATCCACTCAATCACACGCGCATATATCGAATCCCGTGAAACAGAGTTGGCCAAACTCTCTCTCTCTCTACGGCTCTGCTGTTTCGACTTTCATAATTTGGAGGTCAATCCAACTAGTGTGACCAGAATTTCGAGCCTGGCTTGAAATCTCACCCGCGGTGAGTCAAGCCAGGCTTGAGCGCTAGTGTGACCGTAGCCTTAGTAAATTTATAAAATATTAACAATTACACAAATCTTTACTACTCACTTCTTGTTGTTGTCTTGTACTTTCGATAAAATTCTGATTTGAGTTCTCAATTTCGTTGTCTAACCGTGAGTACTTTCCCAGTCCTTTAGTTGGTCCATTGCTCATTAAAAACTACAAAATAAATATTGAAAGAGAAATGTTGAGCACAATGACAAACCTGTCTGTTGATGTCAGTACTATTATAATACCCAATTTTTGTTATTTGTCAAAAGCTTCTACAGTATGTGCCCAGTAGTTGCCTGTAGGGCCATATAAAATCTGATGGCATTGATCTAATGACTCCTGAAACAAAAACCATAGCAAAAAATAAAACAGAAATGAATAATACAAATTACTGTTATTGAAAAGAAAAAAACTGCACAACCACACGACCAGCGGTCCGGGGCATTGCGCATTCTACCGGGGGAATATTTATTTATTTTTTGAATAACTTTTGATTCATTTTTGCTCTTTCCAGACATAGCATACAGATAACATTTGGTGCTGGAGGCATTAAAACAATTTTCAAAGTGGCAGGCACAAACATTTTTTTTCCCAAGTCTAGAAAAGAATATCAACTTTCAACTCTCTCTGTATACTTTTAAAGAAAATCTTCACCTTTAGAGGTCAAGGAGAGGAGATTTTATGGGGTAGGCTGGTAGTTTGTACTATTAATTAGACCACAATAACTTAGGTTGGATTAGATAGTATAATACATACTCCAAGTATTGAAATGCATGCCATCCTGTCAGGATTATGTCATCATCAGGATGATCATTCCTGATGCTGACATAATTAATGTCAAAATACTGAATCCCGACATGATGGTGTGCATTTCGATACTTAGAGTATGTATTATATTATCTTATCTGAGATTAATCAGTGGACCTTTCGGTTTTAGGTTGGACTGATACCAAAAAAACATCTTCAATCAGACTTTAAGTAGCATCCAGAGGGACGATAGTGTTTTACGAGCCCACTGGCGCCACCATTAGAATGAATCTAGTGAAAATTTTCATTAAACATTTTTTTTCTGACTGTTTAGTTCAAATCCTTATATACAATTAGAATGGTATTATTGGTATTAAAAAAGCTCTAAGATTAAACAACATAAAAGTAAAAATTGTTTATTACTCAAGAAATTTCTGAGTAAAAATAAATTTGATTTGCTTTCTACATAGGGTTAATCCAATTGACTCTCAGATAAACATAAACTTAAGTACCATACTGGCATTATACAAAGATTGCTGCCAAATTGTGGGGGGAGCTGTAGTTTGATCGATAAGATGTTTGCATGTTCAAACCAAGGTTCCTCAGTTTAACAAATCCTACAACAGCAGGATTTGTTCTCAAGGCTAAAAAGCAACTGCACTCCCTAAAGGCTGTTTTCCACCAGGCGAATTTATTCCTAAGGACTGATTGCTTGAGCATTTTTTTGCTTCGCAAAAACAGTTTGACCTAATACTGATTTCGCTGAAGCCAGAAACTCCAATAGAAATGTGAATGCACATGAACCAGGCTTTCGATTCACACAAATAAATTCACCTAGTAGAAAACAGCCTTAAATCTTACAAAGAAATTTAGCTTTTTTAGACAGAGCATCCGGAAATGACAAGACTTTCCTTCAGGAAGACAATTTGATAATACAACTTAAAATGTAAACATTCTCAATTTGCAGGATATGGATAGTCTGTGACATTGTTTTTCTTAGTTGGGAAGTGCAAAATGCTGTGCTAATTTCCCAGCAATTACACAATCTTGGAATCACTTGGATTGCCTAAAAGCTTAACAATAGTATTTTTAATATTATTTGTATCTTATTTTTCTTTTTTAGGTCAAGGCCAAGGATATGACAAGAGCAAACTTAATCAAATATTTTGGCAATCATTCACAAGACAACAAATAAACTACATATAAACATATGAAATATCCTTCATTACCAGCTTTGTGGTGTGGAGTTGCTGATATTTAAAATTCTTGTTTGGCTATATAATTCAGAAAATATATTAAGAAAATAATAATATGACAATATTATGGCGTATCATTAGGCACTTATTTTTATCAGGGATTCTGACAGCACCTTCCTCCAAATTACATACAGATGCAAAAACACTGAAAGGAAAGTAAGAAAATAAAAAACAAGAAAATCAACAATGATCCTGACTGTCTTAATCATGTAAACTGATAACTAAAGAGGTCAGAGGCATTGCACATTTCCCGGCAGGCATTTATTCTTTTTATTTTTATTTTTGCATAGTATTAGTAATCAAAACAACAACAATTATATTGTTGCTACTTTTAATATAACACCTATTAGGCCAAGTTAAAAAAAAAGTAGTTTCTCATGCTAATATTTTGAAAAAAGGAGAATGAGGGCATTTTTTTTTTTACCCCGAGATGGCAAATCCAAGATGGCCGATGGGAAACAGCTACTACTTTCTCACTTTTACCAAGTAGACACATTGAAAGGAAATAAAAGAAGCACTAGACATGATTATACCATATGTATCCCAACCACGAACGATTGAAAGAGGAATTTTACTGATGCGAGTTAGCCAGATTTTTGTACAATAAAGGAAAAAAAAAATTGGTGTGGTAGAAAAAATGAATATTGTGCGAGTGATGAGAAACTAGTAATTTTTTATATTTGGCCTAATAAATATATACACCTATCTTTCTTCTTCTTTCTACACTATAAAATTTTATGTGACAAAAAAATCTGATGTGCCCATATAAGGGTACGATGATGTCATAACACATACTGTACTATCAAACTGTATAAAAAAAAAGTTGAATGTGTTCTAATCTGATTTTCCATCACATTTTATGTGACAATTTTTTGATAAAATTTTATAGTGTGGACAAAGTTTAAAGCTCCATCCATACTATCAAATTTTCTTTTGACAAAAAACAGTTGTAAAATATGGTCTGGTCAGGACTTATCACATACCTGTCTTCCCCTGCTTTCTTCTTTTGATTTGGTCTTAGGACTTGACATATGTTCTTTCATCTCCTTCACTCGTTTCTTGGTGTTCTCCACAAATAATCGTCGCTCGTCTAAGTCCATCCCATCAATTTTAAACTTGCGTGGGTTTGCTTCTACGATACGTGCAAACAGTGTTAAAGAACTAATTCCAAAGTACAGTATTTCTTAAATTAAATAGTAAATTAACCATTGGATTTGAAATTAAGTATAATTAACATGTAATTACAGTAATATGTATTTTAAAAATGTATTTTTAAAACGTTTTGTATAAATTGTTTATTTTATTGTTTGAAAATCATTAAAAGCCTGACAGTGATATTTTGATCATCTACAGTTCCAACATTGTTATAATCTTAAACCTCAACCCCAACCATTGTGGGGTAAACTTGAAGCGGGTGCAGACTCTCTTGAGACCCAATTTTATTCACAATTCCACAAACAGGTATTTTGAATTGAACATTTTATTGCAAGTTAAAACAAAAAACATTTTTTTTAATTTGTGAAAAGGATATCTATAGTTTCTTCTAGGTCTTCTAGATCCCACTCTATACTTCGCAGACTATTCTTGAGCTCATTCGTTGTCCAATCATATTCTTCTTTACTAACCGAGTCTGGGTCTTCTAGAACCTCCGACCATCTTTGGTATAAGGTTTCTGAGTTGTTGACTGCTTTCTCAACTTCCCTACAAAATTTGATTCATAAATAATATAAATTCATCTCATTACACCATTAAAAACAATTTTAGGCATTTAGATACTTTTTCATTTTTTTTAACTTCGATAAACAGGGGCTGAAAATTTTAGATTAAAAAGTAACGTTCATTCATTCATTCAATCATTTTTTGTTTCAAACGCAACAGCAAGTTAAAAATACAATCAAAACAATCGAAAAATATAAAAATATACAATTCATGATAAGTTTTAAGACATTTAATAAGGAATGCATGTACAGTAGACCTAAATATGCAGTTCCGTAGTTCCTCTATAAGCCCACCCCATTCAATACAAAATTGGGCCAATCAAAAGGCAATTTTTCAGCATTGACCACCTATTTTAAATGATTACGTGAAACATTAAGAAAATAATATTACATCAGTAATATGATTATAGAAATTCATCAGGACTTTAGTTGATTCAATACTGTAGTAGCAAAAGTTTCTTTATAAAAATCCAATTGATAACACTTACTTTTCTTTAGCGACATTTCGCTAAAGAAAAGTAAGCATAATCAATTGGATTTTTACAAAGAAACTTTTGATACTAAAGTGTCCATTAAGTTGTACAATAAGCCAGTCTTCAAAGATCATACTTCATTCATGGAGGAAAGCTTTTCTATAAGGATTTTTCGAAATAACTTACTAAGTAGTATTTTCATAATGTTAACCCAAAAAATGATATGCCTTGGTTTCACTGAAATTATTCCTGTTTTATCTAAATAAAAGGCTGCTAGGTCTGGGATCTTCTACCCACAGGTCTAGTCCTTGACTACTTTATCTATGCTAGGCCAAGTTCCAGGCCTAGGTAGACACACACAATCAAACCAAAAAGGCCAAAAATCAAATGCTCAATATGTAGGAAAAGGTAGGATTGGGCCTAGTAGTAGAGCAGTTACACTAGCCTAGCCTAGGCTGGCCTATCTAGGCTATATTATTACTATTTAGTTAGGGTCCCAAACTTACTCTTTGACAACAAAGAATGGGTCTTCAACCGACATGGTAACAACAAGCTTCCTAAATGTATTCCAGATATAAAGACTTGAAGAAATGAAATCCGGAAAGTGTGAACCCCTAAAAACTGCGACACATTAGATCATGTTGTATTTAAGGAAACATAACATATACAGGGAAATCCACCGACCGAGTACTACAGAGAAAGGAAGCAAAACAAAGGTGCGTTGTTTGACGTACGTTTCTCCAAGAATGCCCTCCTCCCACACGTACATACGATCGCGATCGACCGACCATAAAAAATGTACATGACCTTTAAAAATCGAAAACAGTACCTTTGACTTTTTCATCCGTTTATATCTATAATCTGTTTAATTAAATAAAATATTTACCTTAGTGGTATTTTAATAAATATATAAATAATATTCACTTGATGGTGATAATGCATAATCTAAATCTAAGGCGGGATTTGAAATTTTAAGACTCGTTTGTTGCAAAGTAGTCATCCATGGGGCTAAAGTCAAAGGTTGAATTTTTACTTGCCGACGAAAAGGAGACGAAAACTGGGTTGGAAGCTAATTGAGGAGGAATATAGTGGGTGTGTTTATTTATGTTGTAGGTTTGTGACAAAAATTTATTATGTTATGTTGTATAAGCCTAGGCCTAGTTGCTTACCGGTAGGTTGTATTAAGTATTGTGCAAGTACTGACTGAGACTTAGGCCTAGGCCCTAGGCCTAGGCCTAGTGATGTTAAATAATGACAGGACGGGAAAAGCCAGCCAGGCCCTGCCTGCCTAAGCTAGGACTAGAAGGCCTAGGGGAGTATGGTCGGAGCGGCCGCGAGTCGATACGCAGCAATTTGTATGGAGCGCCAAGCGTGCAGTATGCAAAATGTATGTTGGACAATATGGGCATCAGAGTTAGATATTAATACTGTTTTAATCAATTATCAAATTAATGTATATTTTCTATATAAATTGAGACTTAATATTTAGTTTATTTATTACAGTATATCAAATGTTATGATTTACAAGTATGCCTATTTTCTTACAGAAATGGATTGTACTTGTGTTCAGTTTGTTTTTTAGTGAATGAACATCTGTTTGTCAATGCATTTGAAGATGATTGATAATTAGTAATAACAATAATAATAATAGTAATAATAATAATAATAAATTAATAATAATAATGACAATGTACAGTATCGCTAAGTGTAGACCTATTTTTTTCACGTTCATCACATTTTATTACATTGTAAATTTAGTATTGACAGATCCCATGTTTGAATCCGTTTGTTTCTCATTATACATTAAAATCCGAACTGATAACATATAATAAATATTAATATACAGATCCTATGTTTAAATCCGTTTGTGTCCTGAAAGAGATAACATATAATAAATATCTATTTAATCATATCATAATTTAATTATGTCATGTACGTACAAAAATGTTTTGATCTGTAATCAATCTGTAAACAAATCTATCTTCAATTAACCAGGGCCAAGAAGACTACGATAAATAAAAAATATTCAATTATGAAAATTATACATTGATTTCTCTTTATTTCGAAACATTTGCCTGATCAAATAAAACTGAGTGAAACATACTAGAATTGACGAGTACGATATGAACGCTATTGACCAATGCTATACCGTACCGTATCCCAATCAATCGGTATAGCGCTACTGGCGTTCCATACATTTTGAGCGCAGCAGCTTTCCCTCGCGGCCGCTACGACCCTAATCCGGCCTAGGAAGGAGGCTACCTTACTCCTCACTCACACCACCACCACTACACCAAGTAAGTAAGATAAGATATTCTTAAATTGACTTCTAGTTTTACACCAATTCAATTCAATGGAAAGAGCACATTGAATTTGATGTGAGTAGGCCTAGGTTTTCCTTATCCTTCTGCATAGCGTAGAAAAATTATGTAAGGCCCCATAAAAAAATTATTATTTTATTACCCTATCAAAGAATAAAAACTGATGAGGGAGGGAGATTTTTACCGTTTTACCATTTTACTGATGTTCTCAAGTAAATCCATGGTTAGGGACACATCCTGTATACTGTATAAAAATTCATAAGAATGGAATTAAATTTATATTTTAAAAATATGTTTTTTTTTGTACCAGTAAACATATTTGCAAGAAATCTTCAGCTTTCCAAGACCAAGTCAACAAAGATGGAAAAACAACCGTTTGAAATAAAAATATATGTTACTTGGGGGAAAAAAACCAAAAAAAAACCAAAGTTTCCCCAAAAGTGATGAGTGAGGGGTGATAAACTAATAATTTTTTTTTATGGGGCCTAAACAACAGTAGCTGTAAAGGTTTAGCCTGTGAACATCTGAATTAGTTTAGAGAAAGTGTTTGCAATTCAAGCACAGTATAAAGAACATACAGAAGTTTCCATGGAAGTTTGGAAAAGTGCAAAAAAAATGTCTAAGGTCTAATACATATCACAAACTGTCACTCAATGCACTGACCTCATTGATGTGTGGTGAAGGTTCAAATTTTATTAATTAATACCAAGATCGGTGTACAAAATAGGCTAAAAAATAGAACCATGATGCTAGGTCTAGTACCGGCAGGTAATTTTTTTTAATGTATCAAAACACAAAGCCATTGCTGAATATACTGTACTGTAGGCCTGGTACACCTAGTACAGTAGGACTTGGCAGGGCCTATTGATGATTTAATCGCAAGTCTTTCGTACCACCTCTGGATTCCAGTGAACATGTACGTAAAATATGCATAGGCCTAGAGCATCGTCAACTCTTCCAACATTCCCCGGGGAAACTGGTGTTTTTTCCCCCTGGAAGCTGGTGTTTACCCTCGAACATATACCTGGGTATATTTGACAGCACTATATTCAAAACCCTGGCTATTCCCACATGTAAAATTCTGGGTCCTTTCCAGGCCGGTTAAATTTACTGTATGTTCCTGGCTCAGTCCCAGCTAGTATATGCAGATTTGTTTTAACTTTAATCATTGAGTTTATAGAATGACAATACAAATTATTTTTTATTTTCCGAAATGTGTGGAAAGATTTCTAGACCAAATTTTTGCATGGAGGATATATTCACCATGAAGGCCTTACTTACAGTCTGGTGAACTAGCTGAAGAATAATAGGCATCATATAGTACATTAGTTTAGTAGTAGATTATCTGTAGGCTGGGGTTTAGGCTTGTTTTGACCCTGAGTCATTTCACATTTTCAGCTAATAATTATTTTCCCCATAATCCATATTATAATTCTTGTGTTTGCTTTTGTGAGAAGAAAAAATAAATAGATTTTTGCTTCTGCTTCAAAAATCATCTGTGTACATTATTTTAATTTCTGGTGTTCGTCTTTCCCAACCACATGATCCACGGCACATTCGGCTTATCCACATGACCACAAAAATTCTATTCAACATTCCAATAAGCTCTGTCCCACAGCCAGTCATCAACAGATAAGAAGAATAATTTAGTATTAAGTGTATCAAAATATGCAAATCAATTAAAAACTACCCCTGAACAGTGTGCACATTGTCTGAACTCTGCAAAATTGTCCTTGCAGTGTTTGAAAAATGTGCAAAGAAATTCTTGAGCAGCTATAGAATATTATAGATCTCTTATCCATGCTGTAAATCAACACATGGCCACTTTATTAATATGAAAAGCTATCATTACCCTTTGAAACATACTCAAAGAATAAACTATTTAATTGTAGGCCCTACTCTATTATATTGTATTTATCTATGGTACAAAATGCATCTTCTGAATTATATGGTGTAACACAGATCTATAATAACAACACATGGCCACTTTAAAATTAATATAAGTTATCATCTACTATACAGTAACATTTGACCTTATAATGCAATGTCCTGTAAAATATTCACAATTTGTTACTTTGCATGCATGAAGTAGCACCACAGTGCATGCATTGAAAGCTGTTACCATACCCTCACTCATTCATTAATAATATGTTACATTGTGCATATGAAAATCAAACTGTATAATTTATAAGACACAGTTTATAATTTGATATACACATACTGTTGTTCATTGTGAGTTTCTGAACATTTGATGTAAGTACTGGTATTATATAAAAAAATAGACATTCATATTTTTTTTTAATATGTTAATATTCTACAATCATTTACAATTATGTTTAAAAGATTTCTAGTACTAGGGTCAGTTTTTTTGTAGATAGAGGAAAAACTGAATAATATTTTGATTCGTCATGCACTAATATTTCTTTATTATATTTTATAATATCAATCTGTAGCAGTACTTCTATTAGTTAAGTTTCAACAACCAGCTCTATAGAGTTGATAGATATAGAACAGTATAAAGTATAATGTACAATGAATAATAATAAATATTTTGATTGAATCTTTATCCACTTATATTTCTTTATTTTACAGTAGCAATCTGTAACAATACTTCTATTGGTTTTTAGTTGAACACTTGTATTGTTATTTATGATGCAGTTATATAGCCTTACTACTTACTGCCACCTTATGTATCTAAAACTAAATCAAACATTTTTTTTTATTGCTGTATTGATACATAGACTTTATTTCTTTTTAATCTGATGACAGATGCATGGTCCATGGATCGAATAACCTCAGTTGCCTCATGAGTTGTATATTTCCACACAACTTGATTACATTCTGATTGACACACCATTGTCCCAGAAGACAAAATGGTTTTCACCAAGATAGCCATCAAGGAGTCCGACATTGTCAAACTTGTACTGGACTTCCTGAGCTCCAGAGAGCTGTTGATGTCCATGAGGACCGTGGAGAAAGAAAGTGGCATTGTGAATGGACTCTTCTCAGATGATGTATTGTTCTTGCGACATCTCATTCTAGATGGACAGTGGGACGATGTCCTGGAGTTTATTCAGCCGCTTGAAGGAATCCCAAGTTTTGAAGAGAAAGTCTTCCGTTACAAGATACTAAAGCATAAATACTTAGAAATGCTGTGCATGCAAAGTGAGGATTTTCAGAATCAAATGGAGCTGTCAGCCGAGGAAGTTGCTAGTTGTCTGAAAGAGCTGGAACCCTACTGCCCTACAAAAGAAGACTATAATAAACTCTGTCTTCTCCTGACAATACCACGACTAGCTGATCATGTTGATTTTAAGAACTGGAGTCCAAGCATTGCACGGATGCAGTGTTTCAATGATGTTTGTCCACTGGTCAGTAAGTTTCTGCCAGTTGATAAACACTTAACGGAGAATGACTTTAAGTGTACTTCTGACCGTTTGGTCCAACTTCTGATGAAAGGACTTTTGTTTGAATCATGTGTGGAATTCTGCCAACAGAAAGCAACATCAAGAAATGCCAAGGGCATATCACATACATTGGAAAATCTTTTGAATGGAACCAGCTGTGATGATGCAGACCTCAGTCTGCTGTCCTGGCTTCAAAGTATACCGAAGGACACATTCGGATGTCCCTTTGAACAACGCAGTTTAGAAATTGACTGTGACAAACTATTAAAACCCAAAACCTCCTGGTCAGAACAAATTCTTACACCAATGACTCCCACCCCAATCAGAAGAGGCTCATCTCCTTCTCCATCTACACCTACTTTGTACCGTGGTAGGCCATGGTCTGCAGGCCCACAGAGGCTTTCACAGTCTCTCACCCCATCTATGGAGGCTTTGATGTCACAAGGACGTCGTGAGGAGGACTTGCGCGGTGGCTTAAATGGCAATCCATTGTCTCACTCTTTCAGTAACTTTCACGTAAGTGGCGGCAGTGCAAGCAAACCAACACCACTCCCGAAGGTGACTGAAAGTGTTGAGAGAAGTCCACCATCAAATGATGCTGCAAGGCTTAGCAACAGGGCATCCCCGATATTGAGGCATACCCCCCAGGTAATAATCTTCATATACAATTGTCCCTACAAACACAGATTTAGATTTAATTAAATCTTCACATTAAAAAAAATTATTTTTATATAAAATTTAAATAATATTACTAATATAAAGTAAGTTTATTTTCTTTAAATTAGCCAATTGTAGGTGATCCTGTTGCAAATTCCATGCAGACCATGTACCAGGAGCACCAGATGCAGCGAAAGCAGTTACAGCAGCAAATGGAAGCACAAGAGAGACGACGAGATGCCCTGCAACGGGAGCTTATGGAAAATAGCAGTGCCATCACCTCAGCTTCTGTGGTGGAGGGACCAACACATGGAGCCTCAACACCTTACCAACATCAAGCAATAGAGGGTCGGACATCAACTGGTGGAGTTACTGCAAACAACAGGATAAACAAAAATATGACGCCAACACCAAATCTGGTATGTCTACTTTATTTTTCATTTATTGTGTAACACAATTCAAGTTTATTTTTCTTTAGCACACAATATTGTGATAAGTATTGGTCCCACATAATAATTTTAGGTGAACCTGAATTCATTTTGACCTGTTTTAAAAATGTAACATCCTAAAGTTCTTCAACTCTGGTTGGCAGGGATACATTGCATACTGTCTTTCATTCTTAATCCATTGATTTTCTTTTACTCATGTCATTCATTTAATCATGCTACTTTCAATTATCTACATACATTGGAACTGACAAATTAAAGATAAATTTTATGATTGTAAAAGCTTCTTTTATATCACTTCCTTTACTGTGATTGGGTAATTTTATTACTTCCAAAAGTACTTATTGTATCTTTTTTGAAATGATTGATTAACATTGGTGCAAAGAAGTAATCAAAATAGCGTACTGGAATCCGAGGGCCAAGATTTCTCATACAGACACTGGGACTGGCAGGCCTTCACACACTGCAAAGCGACACTTCAGGTCTGCCAAGGTGTCATCACACTTGGGCACAGACACTAGAGTATTGATTTGAATTAGGTAGTTTATTCCCTGCACAGCTCTTAATCAATGGTTATCAACCTATAATTCTTAGTAATAATATTGTGATAATGTCTTATTTTTCCTTTGGGATGTATATTGGTGCCATGTACAGTACAGGATGAATCTTTCTGTGGTTTTTCTCACTATCTTCTCACCTTCATTCATGGTGGTGGTAATGGATGTCTGAAGGCTTTCAGGATAAGCAAGCTTAGCATCAGTACAGTAACTAATAAGAGTTTCAATGAAGGCCATTGCCAATGGAAAATTAGATGGTAATGCATGCACAGTAATGACAAACCCTGGAGGAGGTGACACTCCAATCTTAGCATAAATGCAATCACATGGAAGGATAACTGATGGATACGGCTGTAAGTCATAGCTTGGTGGTCCTGCTAAGCCTCCAGCATTACTAGACGAAGCATTGGCAGGATAAGATATTACTTCTCTTGGTGCAGTTTGGCCAGATCTCTTAATTTTATGTCCTAGCCCATAATGAAAAATCCTAGCCCATGGAGCTTGGTACAAAGACATCCTGCAATAAATACAAAATAAATCTATTATCAAAACTTAAAACTTACTGAGTAGTTACAATATCCCATTGATAATTTTAGAAAAAAAAAACCCCAATAGAACTGTTTTGTTAGTAACAAATTAATATCTAAATGCTATACAATACCATAGTTTTTGCTAACAGCTATATGGAATAACGGTGAAAGAGTTACACTAATCTAGATACTAGTTTCAGAACTCACTCTTTCTTAGATGTTCTACTGTCTTGTCTACAGCTCACAACAATGGCAAATGCTCCAGGAAACTTCAGGTCTGTGTCTGTCTCTTATACACATCTAGATGTGTATAAGAGACAGCCAAATCTAGTATGTCTACTTTATTTTTCATTTATTGTGTAACACAATTCAAGTTTATTTTTCTTTAGCACACAATATTGTGATAAGTATTGGTCCCACATAATAATTTTAGGTGAACCTGAATTAATTTTGACTTGTTTTAAAAATGTAACATCCTAAGGTTCTTCACCTCTGGTTGGCGGTGATACATTGCATACTGTCTTTCATTCTTAATCCATTGATTTTTTTTTTACTCATGTCATTCATTTAATCATGCTACTTTCAATTATCTACATACATTGGAACTGACAAATTAAAGATAAATTTTATGATTGTAAAAGCTTCTTTTATATCACTTCCTTTACTGTGATTGGGTAATTTTATTACTTCCAAAAGTACTTATTGTATCTTTTTTGAAATGATTGATTAACATTGGTGCAAAGAAGTAATCAAAATAGCGTACTGGAATCCGAGGGGCAAGATTTCTCATACAGACACTGGGACTGGCAGACCTTCACCCACTGCAAAGCGACACTTCAAGTCTGCCAAGGTGTCATCACACTTGGGCACAGACACTAGAGTATTGATTTGTATCAGGTAGTTTATTCCCTGCACAGCTCTTAATCAATGGTTATCAACCTATAATTCTTAGTAATAATATTGTAATAATGTCTTATTTTTCCTTGGGGATGTATATTGGTGCCATGTACAGTACAGGATGAATCTTTCTGTGGTTTTTGTTTTATTTAGCTTAGGTCAGTAGCTGCACAGTGCCCTTGTGCACTCTGTTTATCATAGTCTTAGTCTCAACTAATATATTATATTAAATTTATTAAAAGAATAAAATATCAGCTTTAATAATGATAATTACTGATAGAATAATAATAATAATAATACTAAATGATCGATGACACAATAAACCACTAATAAAATTCAAAAATATGACGATACTTTTGAGAACGATCATTTCAGGCAATGCCTGAACAATTTAATAAGGCCTAGCCATTGCTAGGCCTTACGCTACATACATGTTTAGACAGATCCTACTGTCATAATCAGTGTACAGAGATTCCATATAGGCAATCTTATTTAAACGAAGTGAAGTGAATAATAATAATAATAATAATAATAATAATAATAGAATACTGATAAATCTCAAATAATTTCAACTTGTTTCAATGCAGTATTACACATTTTGTGGTTTACTTCAATATTTACTGTATACTCTTGTTTATTCCACTTTTATTTTGATAATGATGATACAGTAGTAAACAGTAAATTGTATAAAAAATATAAATCTGTATTTTTAATAGAAAGGCCATGATTGCTAAAAGTGAAGTTATGACAATAATAGTGTTAATGCAAATTCCATGTATAAATAATGATATAATAAGATAATAAGATTTTATAACAGTACCAGTAAACTACCAAAAGAACCATTTAACAGCAGACAGCTAATAATTTTCAAAAACAGCACAACAGTTTGTATCTTCATCATAGACGAAGCCTATATTTAATTACGTATAGTGTTGTTCTTTATGGCCCAAACAAGACAATACTGTACTTCTATCATCATCAGTTATAGTATTGCACACAAATCAGATTTTACTTCATCTCTATTCATATTGTGGTTTGTTAAATAGTTATGCTTCATTCCATAACTCCTTGGCATGCAAAACATTGCATTTTTCTTTCCCTTATACAAATGATTGTCTGTCTGCAATACGATAATGATAATGCCGAAACATGTCTTGTTGAAGCCTTTAATACATTAATTCAATATATGATTCGCCTATGATGAAGATAAGAACTGTTGTGTTGTTTTTGAAAATTACAGTAACTTGAATTGCATATTGCTAGACTCATTTTTTAGAGAGTTCTAATGAGTAAGATGAAATAGCATTTTAGATCAACAAGTATAAAATGGGATCATGACCTGATTCATGTGAACACATTCCATTATACAATTTAACCACACTTAATGAAAGTATATGTAATACTGAGTAGCATCTTCTGGCTACTTGTCTTTAATTGCTAAAGTCTAAGGAAAGTTAAGATTTAATAATTGGTTACCTTGGTGTTAAAACTGTGAATTTCATTTTGTAAATTAATTTGAGCTATTGGAAATCAATTTGGCCTTATTCTTTACTTTACATATGAATTAGTTCCTTTATATGTCATTGTTCAGAATGCCCTGGAGGTCTTGGGGTACAAGGCAAACAGATGTTCCATTAGATTTGCTTCATCAAGTGTTCGGTGACCTAGTTCACACTTGGGGCTGACCCCAGGCCCTAATCATGTTGTTTGAACTATATGCAGCCTGATCTTGCATCTGATGTTAACCTGTGCAGCGTTGTTGTTGCAAGGCACCTTGCTTGATTGGGTTGAGCTACTCTTAGATGACCCTTTTTTAGTGACCTTTTATGTTGTCCAGTCAGTCAAGGGCTGGGAGTACATTCAACAGAATTGTTCAGGTTCGTTAGTACACTGTTTTGAATGCACATATCACGCTTGTCATATAGCAGAACCTTACATTTTGGTCAGACACTTTTATGATTATAGACTTGCTTAGTCCATTCATATAGTTTTGTTTCTTATGCTGTAAAATAACCACATGCAGTAAATGTGATTAACCCTATTGGCTTGTTCATGCTCATAAATGATATACCCCTTAAATATGATGTCTACACACTTTGTTAGTGTACTTTACCCCTCACACTTAGTTAATATTATCACAACTGTAGGTTATTCCAACTTCTGAATATTTGTAATATATTTTTATGCCATTATTTTATCAATAGTCTTTATCAACATATTTCTTTAGCTTCCTTAAATTCAAATACAGGTATAATATTTAATTGCATGTTGATAGGAACTATTTTCAATAAATACTATTACCGTAGATGCTTGAATAATCGCCACTCTCAAATAAGCGCTGCTCTCGATTAAGTACTGTACCAAACTTAGCTAAGCATCACTCTCAAATAAGCGCCACTGCGCTTAATCAAGAGTACATGTATTACCCTCTGTGTAATGAAACACTTTGAGAAAACAGGGTTTTAAATACAATGTATACAGTGGTAAAATGAATAAGTAACACAATGAAGACATCATAGAACAAACATTAATCTGAATAAAGAGAGGGAGCCGTGATTCAACCTTTCGAATTTTATTGGTTCATCTTCTCGAATTAGAACACTTTGACACTGATTACAAAATATGCTGCAATACAAATAGTCAGTGAAATAATTTTTTTTTTGCAATTTCACTAATTTTTTTATATATTCATATATTTACAGAAATTTCTTGTTTTAACTCTGTTAATTTATAATCCGCTGTATATTAGGCTTAATATTTTACACATGAGTTGACACACGCTTGGAGGTGTGTTCCAGTTGTATATCGGATCAAAGTGGCTCAATTTGTTTGGCTTTGTTCTTGTATGTAAGGTCAATTGCACCCTTTCTCTGTGCATTAGGGCCTGTGTAGCAGTCCCATTCATGATTGTTTAATTAGTCATGAATGGTGTCACAATCAAAGAAAGTTTCTGCAGCTGCCAACTCCAATATACAATTGATTTTGTTATTTGTTTTTGAAGAAATATTGAATTAATTTGTAGAATTAACTAATGAAATATGATGATTAAATGGTTATAATGATAACATTAAAAGTTTTTATACAGTACATATTTTGTATTCAATTTTATATGCGTAATAATTTACTATTGTATGATCCCAAATGTGATTGATAAATGCTTTTTATGTTTTGCTATGTTACTGTACTTACAGTACCACTCGACCTGGTTTATTGCTTGGCAACTATCTACCAAGTGGTTGTTATGGCTGAGTGCCTATCTGAGCTGAAAAAAAAGTGAACAACAGATATTTAATAGTGCCACAGTTATAACTTTTTCAAATAATGTATCAGAACCTAATGATTTTAAGATTTAAAACCTATAGAAAAATCACAAAAAATTGTAGTTATTCCGTGCATATTGATTGTCAATGTACTGTATTATGTAAGTTTGTAATGCGAAAATATTGATACAGTAAAGTCAGTTGAAAAAGCTGTAAATGTAAATTGTGTCTTGGAGGTACTCAGCCATTTGACTACTAGTAGAGTTTTGCCCAGCAACAAAGGAGTGCTGTGATGTCCGTAAACATGATACTCTATAGAGCTTCTGCTTGTTTAGCATGTACCAACCATGGAATGCTTTATTTTTTGTCATTTTTTTTTAGGATGCACTGCTTTCCCCTCCACCTCCAACAATGTTTTCTGTTACCCCACTCGGTCTGAACTCTAGTACCCCAAAATGTAATAGGGTAGACAAGAATACAACCCCAGAACCTGATGCATCCCCAGTGTTACCCACTGCATTGTCATCTGGTTCTAATCTCAAGCTTGGCCATCCTTACAATACACTGCCACCGATGCAAAGCCTGGACACTTCGGCCGGGGAAATCATTGGGAAAGGTGGGAATATGGTGAACATCACCTACATAAGCCAGGGAAAAGAAACCCCACAATTGGGCAATGTTTCTCAACATGCTCAAAATGCTTGTCAGGATTTATCATTCTGTACCAGCGGGA